TTGACCAGGATGGTCTCGATCTCTTGACCTTGTGATCCACCTGCCTTGGCCTCCCAAAGTGCTGGGATTACAGGCTTGAGCCACCGCGCCCGGCCGGATTTACATTTTAGATGTAGAGTGTCACTCCAAGTGCTAAGAGGCTCCAATAAGGTGTACACTGACCAGAGATAACATCTCTAACTTGTACAATTTTAGCCCACTTCTATGGTTTGAATTATGTCCTCTCAAAGTATAAGCGTTGAGAGGATGAGACTTTTAATATGATTTGTCATGGGGGCTCCATCCTCATGAACAGATTAATGCCAATTTTGTAAGAGTGGCTTTGTAATAAAAACAAGTTCCCTCACATGTGCTCTCTTGCCTTTTGCCCTCCTGCCATGGAATAATGCAGCAAGAAGGACCTCACCAAATGCCAGTGCTGTGCTCTTAGACTTCTCAGCCTTTAGAACCACGAGGGAAATAAACCTCTATTATTAATAAGTTACGAAGTCTATCGTATTCTGTTATAGCAGCAGAAAATGGAGGGACTAAGACACCCACCTTTCATCTCCAGCATTATAGATTCAGGCACATCATCTCCCTCTACTTCCTTTCTCAACTCCAGCCTCTTCTTCCAATCTTCCTCATTAGGAACAACCACCACCACTTTCCGAGAGAAGGTCTTGAACAGCAATAGCTTCCGCCGTTGGCCAGAATTGTACACATTACACTAGAAACAGGAGTATTAACTGATGTTTAGGGAGAAAAATTATCACTCAAATATAACCAAAAGACTAAATATCGGCCAGGTGCAGTGGCTCACACCTGTAATCCTAGCACTTTGGGAGGCAGGTGAATCACCTGAGGTCAGAAATTCAAGACCAGCCTGGCCAACATGGTGAAACCCCGTCTCTACAAAAACAAAAATTAGCCGGGCATGATGGTGGGTGCCTGTAATCCCAGCTACTTTGGAGGCTGAGATGGGAGAATTGCTTGAACCTGGGAGACAGTGGTTGCACTGAGCCAAGATCACGCGGCTGCACTCCAGCCTGGGTGGCTGAGCAAGACTCCATCTCAAAAAAAAAGAAAAGGGCTGGGCGCAGTGACTCACGCCTGTAATCCCAGCACTTTGGGAGGCCGAGGCGGGTGGATCACGAGGTCAAGAGATCGAGACCATCCTGGTCAACATGGTGAAACCCCGTCTCTACTAAAAA